CTTTTCAGTGGCTGATATTATATTCATTGCTACTTCTGTTACTTCTAACCACGTGCAAAATGAGACTGAATAGATGACAGAATCTGGCTGAATTTGGCAGAAGATAGTATTGTAACAATATACAGTACCACTTCTGAAAAGCAGTATTCTGATTGGTTGACTCTAGACTGTAAACTGATGAGAAATATTTTTTAATTATACCATTGTTCATGAAATTTGCTACATTTTTAGGTATAAGCTTGTGACAAATTTAATTTTTTTTTAAATGTGAGATTATCTCAAGGCATGACATATTAAAGTAGATTTTGTATAAACAATTTTAACCTGCCTATAAGAAGGAGTTACCTCAAAAAGAGATTACAGGTATTTTCAAATGCATCAGTAAGTTTAATGTAATTTTACCACAAGGCTTTGCAATGTGTCCTTCCAATGTTCCATTTTTAATACTGGATGTACAGTATGGAGACTGTGTCACAGCATGGAACACTTGATTCATGTGGCCTTAACTCACCAGAGTGGATTGCAGCAAAGTGTGGCCTGTGTACTGAAGCACAGAACAGTTACTGTCTTGCCTGCTTCTTGCCTATTACCCATATTCACAATGGTTTGGAGAAGTGTGTCCCTCTACTGAGACAAGAATTAGGTGTTCTCCAGCTTTGGATATTGTCCTTGTCAGCAGACTAACTCTGTTTCAAACTGCAAAGAGCAGATATATTGCTTTTGGTCTCTGGAGTCTTTGCAGCGGTAGATATCACTTGCGCTTTCAAATTAACAAAACTTTGTGAAGACGTTTTCTGATATAGCCAGAAAGAATAATGATTGTAATCACGAATAAACACTGTATTTAACTGTAAAATATTAATTGAGGCTGAGAAGTCCTTGTATCTTTCAGATGAGCATTTTTCAGTAGCTGCTGAGATATTTCCTTGAGATGATTTTACCAGAAAAGCAGTCCATGAAGAGAACTTGAATGCTGATGGATCTGTTTTGTGCCTTCCTGCTCAGCAGGCTGAGGATGAGACCTGGCCGTGTTTTCCAGCTGTGCTCTTCTGAAATCTTGGCTGATGGTCCTGCATTCCCTCTGCCCATCCAGGAAAATAAGTCAGTTTGTGTACCTGTCTGATTATTTTTCTGACTAGGAATGTGTGAAAGAAATTGCCTTATGTTATTTTGGGATGATCTGAAGGTAGGATGCTAATTTCTGATTCAAGATGATTTTTTGTGTGCTCAGAAAGCATCCTTTTACTTAATTAGCCTTGTCAGCAGTGACTCTTCAAGCTATTTCTTGACATCAAATGATCACGTCACAGCCTCTCAGTAAAATTATACAGATAGATGAACTGATTCAGTCGTCTTTATCAGATACTGTTTTACATTAATTGTATTTATAACTTTTATATCTAAATGAAAATAAACTAATTTATATATTGAAAAGTCTTTAATTCTAAATTATTGTTTTTAGAATTGTCACTTGTGGGTGTACTTTGTTCCTTCTCTGTGACATATTACCTCAGTGTCTTTCTATCTTCTTGAATATAATCTGTCTTCTTACTCTTTTCCTTTCTAATTCTCAGTTCACTTTCTTTGTGGTGTTGGGTATTTTTCCCATACACTTGGAAATTTGGGAATAAATGTAAATGTAATCTCTCTAATACTTTTACTCCCTCCTTTCTCCCCCAATATTATCAGGTATTACACTATAGTTCTTGGTTTCTATTTGATTTGATTCTATTTGATTGTTTAAGCTAGTTCAATTTCTCTGCCCCATGTTTTTAATGTTTTTCCCAGCATCCAGCTGGGGCGTTTGAGACAGTCCTTACTGCATTTTCCCACCTTCCATCTGAACCTATTCAACTGTTGAAACAACATGAACATGTTTTTTCTGAATCAGATAGTGAAGTCATACGAGGCTAAGGAAGAACATCAAGTTGAAGTGGTTATGTTTTCCTGTTTCCACTGAGAGATGTATGAACCTCAGTAAGAGGAGATATGATGGATCTCATAATCAGAAACTGGCACAGCTCTCAACATGTAAGCCCTGTTCTTCAAGCTGCTCTGTTTTTTCCACTATTTCCATCTGAGCCAAATTAGTCTTAGAGGGGAGAGAAAAGTGGGAAACATGACTGGACATTTGTTTTTAACACAGTAGTATTAGTTGCATATATGCAAATGTAACATGCTAGAAATGCCACAGAGATCTTAAGAGAAGCATATTAAATGGTTAATTTGGAGTCCCAAAGGCATTTCCATCCTAGCAGATGGAAATGGCTCCTAGGCTGCTATAGGCTCTTGGGCTTACAAACATAAAAGAGAGTGAATTATTTATTGTGTTTTTAGGGCTGTCTCACTCTCATTGAAGTTTTGCTGCTGAATTTGGTAGCAGTAGGACAGGAGGTTTTGCTGCTGTTAGCATAATTCTTATACTAATAATTAATTAGTGTGCTCCTCTACTTGGTGGGATTAACAGCTCCGTAAATCTCTTGGGGGACATTGAATTAGGTTTCCTGTTCCTGGTACAGAAGACAAGCAAACCTTTCCCTGTTACTTACAAGTTAAGAGTTTGTGTGTAGTCCTGTGAAACACACCTGTGGACAGATTCCTTCTTTCTCAGAGTCAGGAATCTCCTCTTTGCCACCAGATGAAAATCTTGAACCTAAGTGAAGTTTGGAACTAGTTCAGAATTAAGAAAGTCCTTTAAGTAATCCTAGGACCAAGAAATTTTGCTCGGTGTACTGCTATGAAAAAGAGTAGAAAAGCAACACTGATGTGTAAGGGCTCCCTTACTAATAGGGAAAACAGCTGGCTCCCACTGTGAGGTGGCAACAATTGAAAGCTCTGCTAGGAAAGAAGGCAGAGATCCTGCACCAGTGTTAACTCTTGTATCTTTGGAACTGTACACTCTATAGTTTGTTTTCTTGTTGCATCCCTTAAGGTGTTCTATATTGAATTATTATTTCCTCACTGGAAGCTGGAGGTCACTTCTTCTGTGCCAAAATGGGAGAAAAATCCAGAAGCAAACTAACTTCTCCAGCATGCTTTAAGGTAAAGGCTATGGTAACCATAGCCTGCTCTGGAAATATAACATTAAATTTAGAGAGTACATAAATGAGTGAATATATTCCAGAGGCTGAAATTTTTGATCATTTTATTTGATTCAATTAACATCTCCATACAAGGCGACCAATTGCTCTGTCTGCAACAAAACAACTGAAATTTCGGTGAAAACAAGGGATTTTTTCTTAAGCCTAATTGAATTGAGCCCTTTATATATTATAGGGAAAGTAATACTAATTTACTTGGAGGGGGGAGGGCTTTATTTTAAAAACTGCATAAGAAAATCATTCTGATAGAGTACAATTAGGGTTGAGGAATTAATCTGATAAGTTTGTCCAACTCTCAGCTTTCTGTTCTAAGCAGAATTGTTTAGGTCTGCATTACCTCCAGTAAAAAAACACAAACAACTCACCACCAAAAAACCTGTATTCTCCCGAGTGAATTTCCATCTGCAACTGACTGAAGTCCTGCAAACAACTTGTGTGATGATTCACAGGAAGGAATAGGTTTCAATTCCTTCTCTTTGAGCTGTGTTGCTTTGGCAAGGAAATGGGAGCAAAACAATGTTAGTCACATAATTATGAGACCTGGCCTAGAATTCCCACTGAATATATGTAATAAGAAGTGAATTACCTTTCATGTATATAGGGGCTTTTAAAACATACATATAGCTTAATAGAAAAAGTGACTAGATTAATTCATTACAGGGCTTTATATAAAAAAACAACAGAACACGCCTCCCCAAATAGTTTCAATGAATTTTGTGACATCACCTTATTTATGTTGTATGTACTCTTCATTTCTACACTTGTATCAGAAAATCTTAGTTTTATGAAATTGATGGGTTTTGCCCATCAATTCTGAGATCTTAGGACACATTTAAGACCTGTTTCCAGGTCTCTGTGATTTTCACTACAATTTGAAAGAGTTAGGAACTTTTTTAGCTTTGGGTTCTTACAAAACCCCTCAAGTTTCTTCGATAAAACTTTAAAACTGAAGTTTTAAAGAAAGGCAACCATGTTTTATAACTCTTCACAGGTGGTTACGTGAACACCAGCCACCTGTGACAAAATCACCTGCTGGAGCCGTGGAAAAGCTTGGTTTGCTGATGCAGCTGCATTCCCCAAGCTGCTGCTAGGACGGACGTAGCTACATGTACTAAACTTACTAGTTTCCTACTGCTTTTGCTTTGGGGATGTGGCTTTTCAACCCTCGTGCGAGTCTCAGTCTCCTATCAGAATTTTATAGCGCAGCACACCGGCATTCCTATATGAACAGGTAGGAAAGGAGCAGCTCTGACGTGAGGCTGAGAAAAGCCAAGGGGAGACGTTGCTTTGCGGGTTGGTGGGCGAGTACTTTGCTGGGCTGGAGCTGTTTGTTTCGCAGTGGCTCCGCAGTGCTGGTGCGAATCACGGCCGGTCTCTGAGGGGCTCCGCAGCCGCCGGGCCGTGCCGGGCGCGCAGGGGGGAGCCCGGGAGCCGCGTCCCTGCCCGGGCGGTGCGGGGCTGTCCCCGGGGCCGGAGCGCCCTCACGGGCGCTTGGCTCACCTCCCCAGGGGAAGCACCAGGCAAGCGGCGGCGTTCCCGGGGACCCGAGGCCGGCCCGTCCGGCCCGCGCACTCCAAGCTCTCCCACGCCGGGCGCCGTGCCTGCTCTCGATTCCCGGAGGCGGCGGCGTCCCGCCCGCTCCCAGCGCTGCCGAGCCATCCCCTTCCCCCGCTGCCGGCCGCCCGCCCGGAGTTTCCTTCCCCCGCCCCCGCGGGCCCCTCTTCCGGCCATTGCCCGCGTTCCCTCCGCCCCGGTCACACACGGCCCCCGGCCGCGGAGCGCCCGGCCCCGCTGGGTTTTGTTCCCAACTCCGCCCCGGCCTTTCTCCCGCTGCCCCCCGCCCCCCGCCAGTCCCCACCCCGCCCCGTCCCAGCCCCTGCCTTAGCCGGCAGTCCCTCCCTCCCTCGGCCGCCTTCATTTCATACCAACTCTCATTCCTCGCATTCCTCACTTCCTCCTTTCAAACTCCAGGGGAAATAAAAACCCTCCCTTTTCCTCCCAAACTCCTGCCCGGCCGCCCCCCCGTCCCGCCGCCGCCCGGGCTCGCCGTCCCGCCGGCCGCGCCGCGCTCCTCAGGTGAGTGTGCGCTTTGTGCCTCCGCTCCCGCCGGCCCGGCTGCCCCCCCGCTCCCGTCCCATCCATCCCATCCAATTCCATCCCATCCTCTCCCGGCCACCCGCCCGGCCCGGCATTGTTCGCCTCTCCCCGCCGCCGCGGGACCGGCAAGGGGGAGCCCCGCGGGCCCACCCCGGAGCCGCTCCTCGCCAACTTTTTTTCTCTGCGACTTGGCGGTGGCGACGATGCTGAGGGGGAGGCTGAGCCGCCCGCTGCCCCGTCCCAGCCCCCGCTCCCACCCCTGCGGGCTCGGAGGTGGGGATCGGGCGGGAGCGAGGGGCAGGCGCGCAGTAACAGCGCTCGGTGCTCTCTCGGCAGAAAGTCCTGGAGCTGAAGGAGGATTTGAAGCCGGTCCCCGCTGCCCCTGCGGAACAGCAGCCGCTCTTGCCTCGCTCAGGTCGGGACACGCTGTTGCACGATGGCTGTGGCGCGGGTGCCTGCGGGAGACGGGCTGGAAGGGAGGGTGCGGAGCCGCTCGTGTGCGACAGGCGAGGCACAGGCGTACAAAGGAAGCGATGGGAACATCCTCAATGGAGCCTCCGGCGGCTTCCCCCGCAGGGAAGGGGCTGCCGGCGCTGCCACTTCGGGAACTCGGTCGCTGAAAACTGCAGCGCTAATGGGGAGAGGGGAAAAAAAAGCAAGCGGTTTCTGTGCGGTTCGTAGAGATGCGCTTGGAGAGGGTGGAAAGGAGGAGCGGTACTTAATGTAGTAATTTTTAATGTAAATAATGAAGGATGATTTTTGGTGGGGAAAAAGGAACAAAAAAGTCATAAGGAAGCCTGTCTGTGAGAAGGTATGTAGATTGTTGTAGGGCATTTACCAAAAGATGAGGGAATGTTCTCCCAGTTCAGTTATTCTAAAGTTGGAGTTGAGTTTTGGTGGCATGCCACAGGAAGGGATTAAAGAAACCCCAAACAAACCGAGCACACACAAAAAAACCAAACAAAAAGCTTTCCGGAGTAATCTTTTATCTTATGCAGATAATTCCGTTTAAACAGTTTCTTGCATGGGATGCTAAAGATGAGGCTTTTTTTGCAGAAGAGGAAAGTAGTGTAACTACATGTTTTAAGAACTTCTGTAAAGTATTTTGTAGTGAACGAGCGCATATGTTAAATAAAAACTCTAACAAAAACAAACAAAAACTCAGAACTAACCACAACTAATTATCAACTTTGTTTTTGTTTAACCTGGAGTTACACTCATGTTTCTTTCTAACCTTAAGAGTTGGGTTCTGCGACTCTTCTACAAATAAGCAATGCGAAATACTTTTCAAGTGCAGGGGGCTGAACGAGAGGAAAGGAGATTTAGGGATTGTATTTATTTTTCTCTTTTCCTGTTACTGGGGACAGGTCGGCTTTGCCAGGACCTGATGGCGGTGTCTGTGTGCAGAGTGAGCAGAGCATTGGTTCACCTGTCTGTTCATCTGTCTGGGTAGATGTGAGAGGTTTTATTGTTCTCCCGCAGAAGGAAGTGGGCAGCAGGACGGGGCAGAGAGTAACGGGGAGGAGCGAGAGGAGCAGAACAAGGGGGAAAGCAGAGTGGGTATACAGCAAGTGCTGGGCTGCTGCTGCTGTACACTCACCTGTATTAAAGCCTTTTGGTTTCGATAGCTTGTTCTCATGACAGAGAAGAGCTTGGGATCATCCTAGTGAATACAGAGGGACTTCTTTATTGGGTCTGCTGGATGCTGAGGGACTCTGGTTTTCTCTGGAATTCGGGTTGGCAGACTGAAGGATAGCGAGTCACCTTTTCAGTTTATTTCTGCAGTGGGTACAGTCACCTTTTCACATTTTCCTAAATCCCAGTGGAAATAGCTCCCTCAAACTTAAGCATTCAACAGTCTTATCAATCTCTTAACTGAGCTATCAGCTCATTGTTTGTGTCCTCTTGGAGGTGATCCTCGAAGCAAATAAATGTGTGTAAGAATTATTACCAGGAATTTCTCCACTGTCTTGCATCCTGACACTATTTGGATTTTTAAATTAATGCTGCCAATGGTTTTGAAGTATTTTAGGCTGTTATTGTGATAAACATTTCAGTGTTGCTGTATTGAAGAACATCTGTGGGAAAATAGTATGAAAATATTTCTGCCAAGCTTTAAAGAGAATAAGAGCCCCATGGCACCTTATTTTGTCTGTAGAGTAAGTAGAGTTTTGAGAGGGTTGCTGGAAAGTATTGTTTCCAACAGATACAGCTTTCATCTCGGTTTGCATGCTCATTCACAGCTTTCCTTCCTTGCTAATTATGTGTCCTTTTCTGTATCTTTCAGCTCTTGGTTCAGCCCAGTGTAAGCCAAGGGGTGGGTCCACAAAGGGTTGAGCTGGCACTGCTGTGGACCTGTCCCCAGCGCCTCAAAGTGCCCATTTCCTTACTTGTCACATCTCTGTGCTTTGTCACTGGCAGGGACGCTGGCACTGCTGCTCACTGCGCCGGGACTGATCCAGAGGAAAAGTAACACTCTCAGCAAGTTTTATCACTTTTAGCAAGTTGGTTTTCAGCCACATCTCTGCGTTCTCCAGTCAAGTTAATCATATGGTCATGTGCTGGTGTGCCTGTAGAAGGCAGTGCAATGAAGGGTGGCAGAAGAATAGGGACATTTTCTTAACAACACTGTCATTTTTTCCCACCTTAAGTAGTTCCTTGGACCATGTTTACAGTAGCTCCTGTGAGAGCAAAACAATTTCGTTTTATCTGACCACAACTGTATCTTAAAAATGTAAAATTTAGTATTACATTTTTTAAAGATCTATTATACTTTCCTCATAGCTCACATTTGTCTTTTGTTCATTTGTTAGGTTTGGGATTTGGTTTCGTTCTTCTCTCCCACTCCCTCATGGCATGTAAAAGTTTTCTGGGGCAAGCTTTTCATCACGCAGTGTACATCAGAAAAGTTTTCTTACTCTACTGCAGCAGTTTTTGCCTTGGTGTGTATTTCTGTGAAACGATTAGTTATTATTTCTCTCTGCAGTTGCATCTTCTAAGTTCTTACTTGCTACTAATGAGAATATAATAATAATAATAATTTTCAATTTTCTAGCTCTAATTATTTAAGGTTTTTTATACTCTTCACTTTCTTCAGTTTATCTGTGTTTCTTTGTCAGAATGAGATCCAATATTCCACGAGTTGTAGTGATTCATCTTTCTTCCTTGCCTGAAGTGATAACTGAGCCCAGGCAGATTAAAGTCACATTGGTCATTTTGCAGAAGCATTTGCTTTGCAGACAACTCTCTCATTTGTTCAGCATTCTCACTCTTGCCTGTCTTTAGCTCCTACTTCTGGCAGGGCTTTTTCCATGATATTTTCTCTGTGTTTTCTTTGCATTGCTTTTTTCACATCGTTCTATTTGTCTCTCTTGCTTCTTTTGTTTTCTTTTTTACACTAACACCCTTTGTATTGTTTCTGCCCACTGGTGCTTGTAAGTTACATTCTATGTCACCCACAAGTTTCATTAATGTTACTTTGAGTCAGTCTTAGATCTTTAATTGAGATGTCAAACACAACTGAACTAGCAAAGATCCCTGCAGCAACCCAGTGGATGCCTTCTGTATCTGTTGGTTCTGTTTGTGTCTCATACATCATATATATAATTATGCATAGTTTTGAAGCCATTAGTTAATTTTCTAATAATATGATCAGAGTTCTCCAAAGCCAATCTGAAGTAATTTTTAGCTGTGATTTCCGTATAGAGTAAAAAATGCTATTTTAAATCTAAACTTACTTACTTTGTGGTGGACTGTGTTCTTTTCATTCTTTACCTTCACAGCATTTCTATCTTCCTTTGAGGAGCAATCAGGTTTATTAGGATTTACAGTAATGGATGTTCATGTCTTTGCAACTTCTGCCAACAACCATGTTAAATAAATGCCTGGCATGTTCCTTTGTAGAGCCTTGTAAAAAAGCCATGAGTTGGCATGCTTGGAGCTCATTACAAAATCTGAGACTAGATTATTAGAAAGAGTTTTTTTAGGGGTAGGCAGTGGTGTTTTGAGTTACTGGGGTTTTTGGGGATGGGGGGGGAGGGTTTGGTAGGTTTTTGGTTTTATTGTTCCTGCCCCTTGGGTCCTCCTTTTTCTGGAGATGATGCAGTCACTCCCCTTTGTTTTTAACACCATATGAATTAGACGTTTTCCTGCTAGGGAGGGGCAGGTTTTCCAGTTCCTGGTGCTACTGGCTGAGTCACTGGCTCTGTTTTTCTGTTCTCTTGTAGGTTTATAATTACCTTGTTCTTACCTTGGTTAGAATGTGATTGCCAAAGGGTAGGTGTTTTACCCTCCTGCATTTCTGAGACATGAGTGCCAGTGGCTTTCAGAGCCTGGGTGCAAGGCTTTGGAACATCTGCCTTGCTATTGCCAAAGAGAAAATAAATCAGTGTAGCCCTCAAAGTGCCTCCCTTCCAACAGTATGGTACGCATTAATGACAGATGTCCAGGCAAAGTGTAATCTCTTGTAACCTGGACTGCTTGAACTAAGGAGGAAATGTCAAGAGAACATGGAGCAGGTGTATGCTGAAATGGAAAGGGAGGATTTATTAATGTGTCCTAAGTTAATTTTACCTGATCATACATCTCTGTAAGCTCATTGAAATAAAGCTCATTTGTACCAGACTAGCAGGACTTACGCAGGTCTTTTGGTTTGAAAATCTTGTCAATTTAGTGGGAAAAAAAAGGTGTAAAAGAGGGGTTTGTGTAAGAAGATTATATCCAAGCACACTCACTGCTCTTTGAATAGTTTTTATAAAAATAAAATAATAAAATTCTATTTATTTTTCTGCCCCCTTGTTTGTGAAGGATCTATGTGATCAGAAGAAAATAACTGTGCATGTAGAACATGTAAATACCTGCTTCTAGCCATCCAGTATGGGAACTGAAAAACAGAGTAGCAGCATCTTTTTCCACTGCTTTTGGTCACAGGTTTTATTTGTAAAAACATGCTTTAAAAACTGGAGCAGAGTCTTTGGTAGGCTGTGTCCCTTTAAGAATCTAGTTTGCTTGGCTAGCTGCCCTTGTTCTCCTGTAGATTAATCCAGCAGAAGGTATATAACCTGTTGACCTTCCTGGCAAGAAGGGAAGAAGGGTCTGGAAGGGCAAAGAGATAAATCAGAAGGTTCATGCTTTCCTGTAATATCTGGGGACAAGTTTGTTTTTCAGTTTTTGACATTTCTTTTTTTTTTTTTTTTTCTTTAACTGATTCCTGCTTGAGGATATAATTACAGATTCTCATGATTTTCATTTGCTTTCTGTGAAATCATTCTGTGTTCAGCAGGTTGGAGATGATGGCATGTTTATGCCACTATTAGAGGAAAGAGTTCTGAACTCAAAATTACACTGGTTTGAGTTGAGGGTGGCTTTACTGTCTCATGTATCAGACTGGTAGGAGCACTGGAATCTGACAGAAATAACTGGTGTGTGTTTGCTAGGAAATTCACGCTGTTTAACAGAAAGGTTGACTTTCTGCAGTGTCAGCCTTAAGAACTGAATGGGTAAGCAGTGAATGTTGACCTGCTGCATGATCCAGATGGAGTGTGTACTCCAAAACTGAGCTGAGGTGGTGTCTGGATAGCCCAGGAGAGTGCAGCTGGGTTGGTAGCCATGGGTAGGCTTCATTCATTTGATGCAGGTGTTTCATTGTGGCTGTTTGCTTAGGCATTGCCTTATAACAAGCATCAAACCCCTTTAAGGTCATGCCTTACCACTACTAAAATCAAAGCACCCATGTAATTGGTTGACTGAAGGAGGAAGAGTCAAAAGAGCACTGACATTGGTCCCACTTTATATACCTGTTCTGCCTGTTAGTGATTTGCATTTGTCTTGAGCCTTTAGTAGAGGGCTTAGTCCTGAGCAGACAGGGCACAGCACAGAGCACCTGTGCCCACAACACAGAGCACCTGCAAGCACCACAGAAAGGGAAATTAGACTGCATTCATGGGTTGTATGATTGCTGTCTATTCTCTTGAAAGTCTCATAGCCCAGGTTCAACTATTTCTTTTCTTGGAGACTGACTATGGTTTGGGGGCTAAACAGTTTCAGTGCATTGGATGAGATTTGCAAACATCTGTCTCTTGTCTGAGCTCATGTTCAGGTCTGCCATTAGTGCCATGGGAAGCTAAGTATGTCACAGTTGTGAGGCTTTGCTGGAACATCTATCTTTGAGTCCTAGACAAGAGATTGAAAGATGTAATAAGCAGGAGTCAGAATTAGGAAAAAAGAATTTGATTTTGATATCATAAAGTGGGCATTGTGAGTCTCAGCTTAGTGTTACTTGTCAGCAAACCCTTAAAATATGCTCTATTTCCAGACAGTGTTAAACATGAGCCCCTCTGAAGTTACCAATTGCAAATCACTTTTAAAGTTAACCTTTTCTTGCTTGAAGTCTTGTCTAGATTTTAACCTTATTCAGGTCTTTCCATTGGGTGGTTTACTTACATCTTTATCCTCTGTTTTTTCCAATAGGTAAAATGAGGGCTTTTGAGCTCATTGGTGAGGTTTTCAGGGCAACTAAGTTTCAGTGAGTTTAGAAGCAAGTTTTTTTTTGGTTGGTATTGAAGGTTCCCTATCTTTAATAATTAAGTGAATAATACTCTTTGGGAAAATGCTCAGCTTGATTTATTTCTGTGTCTAGCTTGGTTTGGTAATTCTCAAGTAATTTTAGCCAGTCAATATCTACACTTGTGTGTATGTAAAGGGACAGTTACAACTTTCCTGTGTTAGCTGACACTACCAATGCTTCTGTGATAAAAAAGGGACATGATTATTTGACTCCCTCCTGGTTCCTTACTTTCTAACCAGCTCCAGGGAGAATGACTCCTGGTGACTGCTGCTGCTAGCACGAGGGTGACTAACCATTTTCACCCTTCCACAACCTTCATCTGTTTGGGAAGCTGTGAAACACATGCCACATGTCTTGGAAAGTCAGGGAGAATGGGAGCTCTGGGAACAGTTCCCACATGGGAGATAACAGTGACTCCCCAGGAATTCCACTGTTCCTTTGAGAGCTAGGGCCAGCCCAGTGCGTGGCTCGATCCCAGCACAACCTGGCAGTGTCAATCTCTGCTGCCCTTGCTGGCTCGTTTTTCTCTCCCAGATGAGACATAAATCACCCAGTAGTCATTTTGTCAGTCCCAGGCTGGTGGCCTTGTAATGTGGCCATGGGAGCTGGGCATGAACTGCCCATTGCTCAGGATGGATCCCCAAGCTGGCCACTCCCACACTTCTGGGATCAGAGCTGGCCTTTGGGTTTTGCTGCTGGGTTGTGGGGTTTTTTCCTCCCCTCCTTAGGGTAGCAAGGCTCTGTGCTCTGTTTCCTTTATCTCAAATGTAACTGATTGGATGGTGTGCAAGGCCACACACAGCCTTATCTCATCACATCCTGTTTGACTGCATTATCCAGGGCTGCACTGATGGAAGTTCTCCTCTCTCCTTGCTTTGATTTATATCACTCTGCTGGACACTACATCCTCTCTCTGTTTCAGCCAGAGCTAGCTACTGCAATAATTTAAGAGTTGTTTTGCTTTGCTCGGGAAGTCAGGTGCCTTTTGAACAGCAGCTGCTGCAGGCAGTTTCGGTGTAGCAAACAAACCGAGTTTGATTTTGTGTTAGGCAGTGTGACAAGCATTCAGCTGGAGCCCAGCCTCTTGTTGGATATGGTTTGAGGCAAGTAGTGCTTGTTCCTTTGTAAACCAGTCTTAGTGTTGAGACAGAGACAAAAATCTCACCGTGCAGCCTGTGGATGTAATGAGTGTATTACCTTGCCCAATACAGAGAGCCAAATCTCAGTTCTTTCCTCCTTGCCTGGCACTGCTGCTTGCTAAGAGCTTTTAGTTTTCTACAGCCAGTAACACTTACCTTAACTGTTTTTATTCATGGGATTATGCAGCATTACTCTGCTGTCCTGGTTGGATAGGGCTATTCACAGGGAATAGCCAGCATTACTCAGGATTGCGGGAGGCCCGGGGCAAAAAGTGAGATGACAGCCAGGCTCAGCCGCTGGCTGAGCTGTTCTGGAGTGTTTCAGAAGAGCTCTCAAGAGGCCCAGTGAATTGCACCCACCCATATCCACTGTCTCCAGGTTGCTTTAATGATGGGAGTGCAGCTTCTAAGGAGCCTGAGGAACTGGTTGCTGTCTGGTGCTGCAAAAGTACTTTTTCCTTCCTAGGAACAGTTCAGTGGTCTTGCTTCAGTTGCATCTTAATTTTTTTCTGTAGGGACCATATAAACATATCCATGATTTTTGTCCTCTTTTGTCTGGGAGCCTTAACCAATCTTATTCATCATCGAATTCTTGCTTTCCACCTTTTCCCTTTCCAGTATGTTTTTCCTGCAGTCCTTGAGTTGCACTGTCTGGAAGCTACTTATCTACTGATTGCATTAATTTTTCTCTTTCAGAGGAACTAAGCTATTCTTGTAGTGTCCTATAGAATTTCCCAGTCTTCTTCCTCTGGTAAGTTTGACTGCTACCTTCCATCTTGTACCTTGAGAAATAGGTTTCTTAGTATTTCAGACTGTTGCTTCTCTAAACCCAAATCTCCTTGTATCACTGCATTGTGTAAGTTCATTTGCTAGGTGTTCTAGATGGGAGTAAGTGGCTGGTTGCTCCTGTTTCCAGCTGTTCTTAATGTTTTATATATGTATAATAAACTTTATAGCTTGAGCAGCAGGATATCATCTGTTATGGCTGAACTGATTTTTTTTTTTTGTGCAAAATTTCTGACTGCTGATCAGATATGAAAATTTTGTGGTTCAAATCCTCTACAGTAGGAGCATTTGGCTCATGTTACACCAAGGTGGCCAATACGGGAATTGTTTGGGTTTGTTTGCATTTCAATGACACCGAGGAGTACCTGTAAGGTGAAGCAATCCCTGCCACCACAGCTCGCAGTTCCCGTGGATGAGGCCGAGGGTGGAGGGATGTTCTGGGTAAAACACAGCGACTTTCAGCTCCGGTCGGACTGCACAGACTGCACACGGCTGGGTGAGTGAATGGCACCTCTCTGCCTGCTGTGCTGTGCTCGATTCCAGCAGGGAAAGGGGGTGGCCATGGGGTGGGGGGAGTCTCTTGGACAGGGCAGCTCTAAGAAAACTGAACAACTGGAGGCAGCTGGCTGCAATTTTTTCAGATCCTCGGGAAAGTATGATTTTGTGTTGAGCAGCTGCCACAAACACTTAAGAGGGAGCTGTTACCAACAGTAATGACTGAGGGATTAATATTAGAAAGCAGATGTGTCAGACTATAGAGTCTGTTTAAAGATGTGCTCCCTGTCAATAAAACCTTGCTGAAGGGCTCTTGGCAGCTGTCTAGCCCTGCAGGATCTCTGAATCTCAATGAGATACCGTGTGTGAAAGGAAAGAGAGTTAGTGTTGAAATTATCAGCATTGGAACGCTTCAACCAAAGCTGCTGGAGCTGAAAGATTTTTGTTTTCTCCATGGTTTTGCTTTGTGAGTGACTCATTAAGAAATGACCAAGGCAGAGAGAAAAAAGGGAGCAAGAGTGAGTAAGAAACAGAGGGAAACCTATAGGAAGGAAAATAGAGTTATTGTGGTTAGGGGGTGGATGTGCTCTGAAGGGCCTTGTGTCTTTGAACCTGGGGGAGAATCCATGACTGTACCCTACAAAGAAAGATAGTTAATCATTTCTCAGTAAAATTAGAGTGAGATCAGGATAAAGAAAACTGTACAGAAGTACAAAAGGCAAGGATTGGGGCATAAGTTCAGGCTGAGGGAATCTCAAGAGAACAAACACCGAGCCCTGTGATCTCTGGCAAAACTTGCTATTATGAACATGGGACAATATCCTCTGACTACTCTTTTCCTAAGAACTGTGCCTGGTGAGGGAATTCAGATGGGAAAGGAATTGTCTCAGCATGTCTGGGATGTCTCTCTCCACATCAGCAGAAAGCTTTGTGATTACAAACTCTTGCACAGGCAGAACTTTAAAAAATTAACAAGTACTAGAATATTTAGTAATTTTAGAACATTTAATAATACAAATCACCATTAAAGTTACCAAGCTGTATGCATGTAGTTACTATTGAGTGGACGACAGAGGCAAATGGAAAGTAGATGCTAACGGAAACATTTGTATTTTGTTAAAGAGGTTACTAATGAATATTATTGAAACTTTTCTTGTAAATAAGACATTCAACATTCTTGTGCTTCTGAAAAATCCTTTGTTTTTCACCTGATTGCTCATTCAGTGGGAAGCAATTCCACTGCTAGTTTTCCAATTTACCATCCTAATAAAGTGATTTATCACAAGGTTTAACCTTCAGCTTCTTTTTAGTTTGCTTTGCTCAGTTTAATGATTGGTCATCTTGACCATCGAGTTTAGATCAACAGTGCAGGAAACAGAAGGCTTGAAAGTGTTCAGCCAAAGCAGAGACCAACAGATCAGATAGCACTCAACCAGCACTCCCTGAATTACTGTCTATTGCTTCTGGCACAGAGTATTGCCTGGGACTGCCCATGGAGCTTACTAGTTAAGCAACATTATTTAAGACAACTTTGCAGACCTTTCAAACCTTTGGCATCGTAGTGACCTAGAGGCATAGAGTTATAAGGACTTCCATGGCCATTGCAGTCTATGAAATTTCTTCAGAAGTTATCAAATAGAAGTAAAAATTTTGCTAGTGTGCTTTGTAATCTGAGTAATTGCAGAAGTTTTAGCTGGAGGTGGCCAAGGATCCTTGATTTTATAGTCTGTATGATTCCCATTTTTGTCATCCATCAGGAATAGCTTTAGTACCAAAAAAGGGAAAGCAGATTCAGTTCTACACCTTTTCTAAGGTGTAGAAAAATTGGGATTGACCACAATAGCACATATCTTGCTGACCTAGCGGTAACTTGAGATTAAACTAACATTGCTGGGCAAGGCATGAAAAGTAAGAAGCATAAAAAAATGTCTGGTCACTTCAAGATTTATATAATTTCTTCTGTCACTGCTATTATGTTCCACATTTCCCTTGATTTACACCAACCTGAGAGAAAGTTCACATATTCTGTTGCTTGCTTTGTGGACTTTTCTTAAGGTACAAATGACATCTGCTCAAGTTGGTACAACTTTTCTATAAGGTTTGGAGAAAAGTCTGGAGAGTTGACTCTCCAGCATCTGCACTGAACAGGACGTGTTTTCTCCTCCAGTTATTTTGGAGCTTGGATTAGAGATCCAGATTTTTCTGTGTCACCAAAAGAATGCACTTAGTGCAGATGCTGAGCCTTGTAAAATATGAAATGATCAGGCAACAGCTCCCAGGGTGTGAGTGTGATAGGGGGAGGAGAGTTATGCTTCAGATATATTTAATTAGTTTCAGCTTAAGAGTGTGCCATGATGAAATCATCTGCTAGGTATTCCCCTGTGTCAGCATGGACACTATGGAGATGAAAATAACTGGATTCAAAGTAGATGCTTTTTATGGTCATGATGGTCCTTCATTCCCTAGGAGACGACTTTGCCTATGTGCATTTGGGGATTTGGCTTGACAGCAGACCTGTAGCTTCCAGTGACTGTGGTTTTGGGAGTCTTGGAGTTGAGCAGTTGGAGATGTTTTCACTTGGTGTGAAACCTGCTGGCTGGAGTGAGATTTACAGCTCCCAGTGCAGGTGGTATGATGAATACACTTGCTGTCTCACCTTGGGTTTTGTTCTGAACCCTCTTGTTTTTCAACCTGTCATCACAAGATAAAACCAGCCTGGGCCTTGTGTTTGTGGATATTTTAATGTGTGTTAGCTATGGAGGGTCCGCAGAGCCTCCAGGGACTAGGGGTGCTTGGGGAAATACAAAAGGAAGATTTGGAACTGGTAATTTCTCTTTCCCTGTTAGCATCTCTCTGTGGAAATCTTATTCCTCTACACTGATTCCCCAGCAGGACAAGCTCTTGAATAGCCATGTAATTTTTTATTAGCATCTGTCAGTGAAAGGGGGAATGTTTGGCAAGGGGAGCAAATGTTACCCTTCATTTCAGGGTCTCAAAGTGACACTGCGGCCGTGGTGCCATTCACAGTGTGCTGGGATGTCTGCCCCAGTGGTAAAAAAGCCAAGTGTGAGTTCCCCTCTCTGCCCCTCTCACCTCCCATTTTATTATTTCTTTCCATGTTCATTAAAGCTCTGAAACTGTATACCATGGATCAAAAGGGTTGAAATAATCTCATGTAGGTGCTGAAATGGATGGATGGGCTGTGGTAGGCCATTTCAGTGATTTGTGTGTTTCGAATACTCTCACAGGAAATAAGTCATATACTGGGTTTTCTAAATGTCTTTGTGAACCATTTGTTAAAATGCTGCATAGTACACTGTGTCTAATTATTTGTCTAATTTATATTGTCTATATTTAAATTAGTCAAAGGCACACTATTGTCTTATTTCCTTAGCTTTTGGTGGGTTTTAGAGATGTAAAATATGTATCTGCTGCTGTCTAAAGTCATTAATGAGCAGCTAAACCTTCTGAGAGGCAGTGTTGCCAAATCTTTACAATTTCAGGATTTGAAATGTTGAAGTTCTAAAAGAATTTCAGCTTTTATTAAAAAAAAAAATCTGGTAATTATTTTCTTGGAGAAGATTTTAAAAGCACAAAATCCAAAGAGATAAGAAACTAAATAAAGACTTGAAAAAAGTTTGTCAGAAGTTTCTGGAACTATGAGCCCTGAATTTTTTAAGTTCTGAGGTTAAATGAGTGGACTGCTCTCCCCCTGTATCAACTATGGCATGGCATAACTGCACTTTTTTTTAATATAACTAATTTTTGACAAATACCACACCCAAATTTCTCCTCTGTTCCCCTTTACATTTTCACTGTGATATTTCTGAGCTGGAGAGTTGCCATGTCAGACTTCTCTCCTTACTCAGGAGAGATGATTCTGTTGCTCTTAGAAAAAAGTCCTTATTCTGATTTTCTTGCTACCCAACTCAGTGTGAGGGAGGGAAGTTTTGAACTCTGGATTTTCAAATGCTGGCTTGTGAACATTCTTTGTAGCGCAGATAACAAAGCTATTAAAATGATAAACAAACAGCTTTGGGATTAAGGCAGAAGAATTATCTGTGTCTTTAGAAGCCATTTGTCTCCTGCCTGGTTGACTGGAAGTGTCTGTGTGGTCTGAAGTCAATTTCTCAATGAGTGTTTCAGCAGCTCCACTCAAAGGCTTCAGCCTCTCCTGTAGGCATTTATAAGTAGACTATAATTTATTGTAGTTTTCAAGCGCTAGCAGCTGCCTGCTTAGGTCCAATGTGAAACCAATTTCTGCTTCTGCCCAGGGGCAAATCTAATAGTTTGAGACTAGTTAAGTGATGAGGGAGCAGAGAGGCAGAGGAAACTTGAAGGTATTTGCCCAGAGTAGTTCTGAAGATGAGCACTAACCGCAGGCTAAGCACATTGGTTCTTGACCTGCAACCTGATGCTGTCATCCCTGTACTCATGGTGCCTTCTGCTCCTGCCAGGATATGGTGCTGGGATTTGGAAGACACTGCATGAAACTTTCTGGCTCCAGGAATGGCTTTTTAAAAGCACAGCTGATCCTTGAGAAGAAATGTCAGTGTTAGAAGTGACACCAACTACTAACTCTGATCCAGTGAAACAGTATCTAAGAAAATTTCAACCCCAGTGCTCAGTGACGACTGGATAATTCATCACAGCTTTAGTCTTTCACACAGACTGAATCCCTCTGTGTGTGCTTCAGAAAGTTAAATAACAGTTACATGGATAATGACAGTGCAGGGAGAAAGAAATACAGGAGAAAAAGACACAAGAAGATTCCTGAGGAAAACTGGGAAGTGACAGAGTTAATGAACCGAGGAGAGATTGGAGCAGGCTGTTTTGCAGAAGGATTTGTAAAAAATGTTTTCATCTCAACATAAATAAAACCCCAACATGTGGTTGAGTTATTGTTTAAGATAAAGTGAAGTAAAACCCTTCCTAACTAAGATTTTTTTCAACTTGTTTTGCTTTAGTATGTCCTTGGATGGTTTCTAACTGCCCGGTGGGATGTGCTTGCCATTGCAGGTTCTGAGTCTGCTCCTCCGCGTGGCACCTTGGAGTTTCTAGCTGGCACCATTACCTCCAACGAGTGGAGTTCTCCCACCTCCCCTGAGGGGAGCAACGACTCGGGGGGCAGCGAGGCCTTGGACAAACCCATCGACAATGACGCCGAGGGCGTGTGGAGCCCGGACATCGAGCAGAGCTTCCAGGAAGCGTTAGCCATCTACCCGCCATGCGGCCGCCGCAAGATTATCTTGTCAGACGAAGGCAAGATGTATGGTAAGCAGAGAAAGAGAGAGAGAGAGAGGCCACAACACAGCGCTCCAGACAGCCTGCCCCGTGCCCCAAATGATGCTCTGAGTGAATTCCCTTCTCTCAGGTGTTCCCAGGCTGGTGCTGTTGGTTGCCTGGAGTTGTATTTAGGAAAAAGGGTGTGAAGATTTTGACATTCACGAAGCAGAAAGAGTTATAGGTATCTTTTTCAGGGGACTATCCATAAGGTAGATGTCAGAGTTGAGCATGCTACTGAGCTAATCTTTATATATAAATACATGGCTTCATGGTGTGACAAAGCCTATCTTTTATGGTATCTCTTGCTGCTGTCTTCAGTGTCATGTTGGAGGTAAGAACAGGTAATGGTCTGTATGTCTGGTGCTACAGGATAGAAGGTCTGCTCCTGAACCACTCAATGGCTCTGCTGCTTTGCAAACACCTACACTTTAACTACCTACACTTTTCAGATCTTAAGGACAGAAAGTTTTATGTACTCCTTTTCACTGTAGTTTGCCTTCTCACAGCCCTGGCACAAGTATCTTTCACCTGTGGACTCTTCTCATCTAGCTAACTAGATACCCAGCCCTGAATACAGAGAGGCTCTGGGTTGCAGCTGCAGCAGAAGCCAACTTTGTATGTGGCAGGCATGCTTTTGAATTGTGTTTTTTGACCTTTTTCACAGTTAAAATTTCTTTTGATTTTGGTAACAAAAAGCTGGTCTGGCCTGGATTCTCTTGCTGAGTATTGCAAGAAGCCACCTGGTACTTCTGTGACTAAAATGCAAAGCAAAGGTTGAATACCCAGTCTTTGGTTTTAAGTCCCAAGGTGGACAGCTGCTCAAAACACTAGCAAGGATCTTATGGAAGACAGCCCTCTTTCTACCCAGCCGGTGCTTGATTTTTTTTTCCCCCCATACATTGGAATCTGCCTGTCTTCACAGGCCTCATCATGGGATACTCCGTGCATGCCCCGGAGCATGCCCCGGAGTGGAGCTTCCTACAGGGCACTTCACAAGTAATTCTGCAGGTTTCTGTCCACCCATCAGGCCATTGTTCCCTGAGCAAGGGAATGGATTGCTCTGACTATGGGAGCGTGGGTGGGGTCTTGTTTACACGGTTTTATCTGCACTGGATGGTTTTACTGGGTACACACATCATTGTACCTGGGAAGAGCAATAGGGGTTGGGTAAGGCTGATCACCTTGAGGCTAATCTAGGACCAGTATTCTCAGGCAGACATCAGTTCCTGCTCCGTGCTCTGCAGTTGTGCTATGGAAACAATTATTAAAACTAACAGGGCCAGAAAGGGGAAAAGAAGTGAACTTTGATTTGGATACTGCCCAGCATGTTATGCTGGTATTCAGAGAAAGGATGCTGATATTTTGGAATGAGCAGCCATGACTGAATTTAAAGTAAGACTGCTCCTTTAGGGACCAATGCTTGCTTAAAATGTTACTCAGACTAAAATATTACCTGAGAATCCACCCCATGGTTATTAAGCATGAACTAGTGATATGCCTCTTGTTGCTCTCTGTCTGCACTGCTTTTCATGATGGGTGACTTTTAAAATTACTAATGAAAAATTACAGTTGTGTTTTAAGACTGTATTAATTTTCTGAACATTTTGCCTGGCCCCTGAAGCATTTCAGCTTTGGTGTGAATGTGTCAGAGCAGAGAGTGAAAGACAAGGAAAGAAATGAGAGCAAAAGTGAAGCACAAAGGGATACAGAAACCAGTGACACTTAGCTGGGCCTGACTTAGCATGGATTGGTGTTAAGTGGAACACACCTAGTTGACTGAACTGGTGAACTGCAGAAGGTAAATAACCCTCTTGCAGGGTGAAAAGTTTAGGGTAGGCTTAGGGAGAAGAAATCAAGAGCTTTTCTGCAAGCCCTCCCCCACTACTCCAAATGGGACAGTGTCCCTGCTTGCCTTCAGTGCACCTGTTCCTGGCGTGGATGGTTGGTTCAGTGTGCTCCTGACAGAACCCAGGCACTGATTTATGTCCTCCTTTGCTTACTCGTCTCCAGGATCCAGGCCAAGGAAGTGGGGCCCTGTCTGGGATCTATAGAAAGATATGACCGGGCAGGGAGAATAAATATAGTCCCTGATTTCATCTTCAGTGCTCACAAGCCAGCTTGTGGAACACGGCAGGCTCGCTGTGGAGCTGGCCCTGCTGCTGAAGGGATGGTTATTTATCCACCCTGTGACTGACTTGCACAGAGCTCTCTGAACCAAAGGGTAGGGGTGAGGTGTTACAGAAAACTGTATATGCCCCTTTTCCCTGACAAAACTGGGACCATTTCACTGTTTCTCACTGAGGAGTGTCTCATTGTTATGGGCAAGATGTTCCAGATCTCAGAATTTCTTCTATGTGCAATTTATATGCTTCTCATCTTTTGTGAAGCTGTTGGCAGCTTTTAGCTGAAGTGTACTGAGGAAATATGAAGAATTTGTGCTGTTCTGTTTAAATGCATTTAAAATTGTACAGAAAGTAGGGTTACATCCTCTACAGAGGCCTCACACTCATGTTTCCCTGCCTCTTCAAAACTGGCTTGTTTACAGCTCTTTAGACAACACTCTGCTGATTTCAGAGGGAGCACAATTCCATCTTCACTCCAAAGTCAGTCAAGCTCTTCTCTGTACACTGATAATCTGTGTCCCGATTCCTTTGCTGCCTTTCCTTTCGTTATCTTTTTCCATACTAGACATGTTCCATTTCTGCATGGAGTCAGCATCCTGAGTGAGTAAGCTCATGGCACAGCCTGCTCTGGGTGCAAGCCCTCGCTGGCCTTTCCAGCAGGCTTTACTGACCACCTGCTTAAGGCACAAGCAGCTGTCTTGTGTGATATGGAATGTTGTCCTTTCTCCTAATCGTTGTGTTGGCATTAGAAGCATTGAGTCTGGGGCACTTTCTGCTCTGGTGACTTCTGGTACTACTAAGGACTTGCAGAATAATTTTGAGTCCTGCCTGCTAGAGCACTGTGGGAGTACAGTATTACAAATCTGTTATTTATGTTTTCCAACGATGTTTTTCCGTGGGATAAATCATACCTGTAGCATTGGTACTAAACAAACTCTCACAGAATTAGGTGTTGGGTGTCTGCTGGTATCTTCAGTACTGATGTAGAGAAAGGAGAGGGAAAGGGCTTAGTACCTTTGTGAGATTTGCATGGAAAAGCTGAACAGACCAGGTTTCCCAGCATTACTGAGAGCAGAGAAATAAGAAATAGTAACTTGCAAAATGATCCCTTTTTTTGACATTACAAGAGAAACAATAAGATCTTGGAAAAAACTAATGATTACCTTAGCTGTCCAGTGTTCCCTTCCACTGCAGATACACCTGGCTTGGAGCACCTTTTTTGCAAGGGGGCTAGAATTGGTGGCAGTTTGTTAGATGGCTGTTCTGAAGGACTCAGTGGTTTAGCAGCTGCTTTTCAAACAGCTCAGCCATTTCTGTGCTGAGCAGGGAGGGGCAGACAGCTGGGGGCAGTCATCCATCTCCCAGGCTGGTGCCATCTGTTTGTGCACTGCTGATAGGAAATACTTAAAGATGTCCAAAGCTTAAAGGCTGAGTGATAGAAGCAGGACAGTCAGCTATGGTACTAGTTAAAACTTGGAGCAGGCAGTGGACCACAAAGCGTTGCTTTTACAACATGACTTAAGATGGGATGAAAGGTCAGTCTGGTGCTAAAAGCTATCAGGTCACAGGTGGTCCCTCCCACCCCTGTTCTGAAATGATTAGGTAAATTTGCAGGATAATGCCTTTATCTCAAAGGGATAAGTTATCACTTCATGTTTTCCCCAACCTCAAAGAGTCACTAAAAGTAGAACTGAAAGGCAAACACATAAATCCAAAGAAGCATAAAACATGCACTGCGTATCCCAGTTCATAAACACTTCTTCTTGAGGGGAGGGAGGAGCATGGCTGTTATTTAAAGTATGGAAACCTACAAAGTGAGAGTTTTCAAATGCTTTCCTCTGTATTGTAGTTTAGCATCTTACCTGATCATGTTTCAATCAAAGCTATTGAAACATGCTGAGAATGTGCTCCGTTGACACTGAACTGAATGTTCCAGGTAATTGCCAAATTTGTATTTCAGCTGTGATATCCCTCAGAGAGATACTTCTGAAGCTTCTATCCCTTGCATTATTATGACCTAGTGAACTCCAGAACAGGTCTTTATCCCATTATTTTGAAAAAAAAAAAAAGAAGTCTCATATTTTGAACATTAGAAGACAGACAAAACTTGGATTAGTGGACAATTGGTCAGGATGCAGACTTTGCCCTCCCCTCTGGTGGTACGTGTAATGTTGTTGGGGTTGCTTAATAATGAGGTTTTGTTTCACTCAGTCATCTTTCAACTCTGCTTTTGTGTGGCTCTAGTTTTTTGTTGTCTAGACCTAGATGAAGCCAGACTTCTGGAGACATTAGCAGTGGGTGAAACTTCTGCTGGAGTTTGTCATGCTTTTCCTTCCATCTCCTTTGTAAGCCAAGTTTATGGTTCTTTGTGTTAAGCTGTATGTCAATTTAACTGGTGTTTTCTCCATGCACGCATAAAAAAAAATATTTTTGCATCAATTCCAAGCATTTCTTGAATATTGAGAAATTTGCCACTTTTGAAATACCAACCCACCAGGAATCTCCTTGCAGTTAATAGTACTGGCTGTGGCATCTTTCCTTAACATGCTTAGTACTGAACATAAATAATAGTAGCAATCTTGTTGTGTATTACATGTTATCAAAATTATTGTGACTCCTTTTGTGGAGGCTTCATTCTGTTGGTTCAATAAAGGGCACATATTTTTCCTGTCCCTTTTGATTTTTTTAGCAGCTTTATAGTCCCATATTTATCTGTCAGGCTTAAAACCAAGTGAGCTCTGTAGTACTATGTTTTTTACATAGTAAAAATGTAAATGTACATATACAGTACTTTGTATATATCTGCAGCCACAGAGTTTTCATCGCGTTTAAGTGACTTCATTGGCAACATTGCATTACCCTTAT